ACTGAGCGTGTGGGGTCCTCACCGGCCGGGCTGAGCACGGGGGTCCACACTGGCTGGGCTGATCGCGTGGGGTCCTCACTGGCGGGGCTGAGCACGGGGGTCCACACTGGCTGGGCTGATCGCGTGGGGTCCTCAGCGGCTGGGCTGAGCGTGTGAGGTCCTCAGCGGCTGGGCTGAGCACACAGGGTCGCACCAGCTTTGGCCGGCTTCTCCCAGTGCTGAGCGTGCTGGGGCCTGGGCATCCTGGAGGCCGGGCAGCCCTGGCAGACCGTCCAGGGCTTGGTGTGCCTGCGTAGGGCCGCCCAGGCGTGCTGCCTGCAGTCTTGCTCTATGTGGGGTGGCCGCCGCCTCCTGGGTGGACTGGGCATCCGCGTGGGGAGTTCCTGTGGACTCTGCTCCAGGCTAGGTTGGCCTCCCTGCTGAGCGGTGGGCAGGTTCTGGGCCCTGGGCTGAGCCACGCCCCCGCCGCACCTGCTGGTGTGGCCCTGTCCCCCTCAGGACACCTCCAGGAGACTTTGCTCCCTGAGGGCCAGCTGTGGTGGGGGGAGGGAGTTCCGTGTCCTTGCGAGGGGTGCAGCGGGGCAGGGTGGGGTGCAGGGCCCCGGGCGGCCTGCAGCGTCTGCTCGTCCACAGCGGCCGGCGGGAAGAAGCAGGCGGCCAAGTCCAAGGAGGAGCTGGCGCAGGAGAAGGAGAAAGAGCTGGAGAGGCGGCTGCAGGACGTGCGCGGGCAGCTGGGCAGCGGCAAGAAGCCGGCCAGGAAAGGTACCGCCAGGCGCTGCCGCGGGCCGAGCTGTCCTCGTGGGGGCGTGGGGACAGGTCGCAGGCACGCGTTGCAGAGCGCTGGGGAGCTGGGGGTCCCGTGGCCCGGGCACCGCGCCCCCGCCCCAGCCCCTGGGCCAATCACCAGCTTGTGTTCCGCCCCCTGGGTCACCTGTGGATTGCGGGAGGGGTCTCCCCATCAGACCGGCAAGCTCAGGCTGAGCACGTGTGCTGGAGGTGGCGTCCCTCCAGGCTGGTCACCACTGTGGCCGTGCCATCACCGAGCCGAGCGGCAGGCGGCGGCTGGGGGAGGGGCGCCGGGCTGGGGGGGCGGGGGGTGAGCGCTTCTTCCCACCCTGTGCCCACAGAGAAGTCCGGCTCGGCGCCCTCGGGGGGCCCTTCGCGGCTCAGCAGCAGCAGCTCCTCCGAGTCGGGGAGCAGCACTTCGAGCGGCTCCAGCTCCGACAGCAGCGACTCAGAGTGACCTGGCCCCGGCGGATGGAGGCTCGGGCGTCACCGCGCCCGCCAGAGCCCGGTGCCCTCTGCTTAGACAAGCCCTCTGCTCCGGAGTATGCCGGCCTCTCCCAGTGTTACGGTCCCTTCTGGCCTCGTGCTCCCAGGTGGCCATCACTCCTGGGTGGGCACCAGGCTTGCCGAGAAGGTGCCAGCTCCCGTGGGAGCCCAGGAGCCGACGCCTGGCTGAGGGTGTCTGTAACCGCGTGTGCCAGGGCCCCCCTCGCAGGGTCTGAAGGCACACGCACGCCACCAGCGGACGGGACCGCGTGCCTAGAAGCCGACAGGGCTGGTGCTGCCATGGGGCCGGGGCAGGTGTGTGGGTGGTGAGACCCGGCCGGCCCGTGCTAGGGGTCCCAAGGGCCTGGCCTCCCCCCCCAACCTCGAGCCTCTGGGGATGTGGCCCAGGAGCGCTGGCGGCATGCGGGTTCCCAGGCACTGAAACTCTTACCTCAACTTCCAGAAGATTCAAGAGAGAGAAAAAAAAAGCAAAAAAAAAAAAAAAGACTTTTTGTAAGGCCCAGCAGTTTTCTATACCAGCCCAGCCCCCCCCCCGCCGCCGCTGCTTCGGGAAATGTTTGCCCGCTTTTATGTATATATAAATACTTTATTTATTAACATCATCGGTCATTTTTACAAAAAAAAAAAAAAAGAAAAAAAAAAAGAAAAGCTGACGACGAGGGCGGAAGCAGTGTGCGGCCAAGCGGCAGCCCTGGGGTGGCCGTGCGGTGGCCGAGCGGTGGCCCTGGGGTGGCCGTGCGGTGGCCGAGCGGTGGCCCTGGGGTGGCCGTGCGGTGGCCCTGGGGGCTCCCCTCTGCTCTGTGTGTGTTGGGGTTTTTTTCTTGTTTTGTTAGTTTTTTTTTTTTGTATGAAATTTGGAGACTTACAGGTGTGTAGGCAACTTGCGGCTCCAGCACATTTTAATTTTTTTTTACTTTGTTCTTTTGTATTCACTTCCAGTCTCTAGATCTGTTTTAAAGGAAATCAGTATAGGGGACCCCCCAACCCCAAACCCCCCAATCCCCACCTCCAGTTATATAAGCTTTGTAATCTGAGAGAAAAGAAGAAAAAAATGTATAGTAAACCTGTGAGTCTGGCTTTGTAACTTTGACTTGTACAAAGAGAATATACAGAGTTTAACACAAGATGTGCTTGCTTATTCTGCCCCAGCGGGGTTCTGCTGCGGCTGCTTCCCGCCCCAGCAGCACCTCGGGTAGGGGGCCCTCACTGGGTGCTGGGGGGCCCTCACTGGGTGCTGGGGGGCCCTCACTGGGTGCTGGGGGGCCCTCACTGGGTGCTGGGGGGCAGCTTGAGATGCTTGGAGCGTTTGTGAGAGAAGTGTGATGGATTTGACAGCTGCCTGTGTTTTTAAAGTGGTCCTTGGTTTTCAAAGGTCTTTGCTCAGCGTGTGAGCTGGGGCTGAGGAATTCACGCAGGCAGGGTCCCCAGGGGTGACGTGTGCCCGTCTGGACGCTTGCCACATGGGTCTTGGTGCTCCAAGGGCCCCCGGGGGAACGGCACCCCTGGTGAGGCCGTGCTGTCCTGCTCACGGACCTTGTTGTCTGCGTGGGTCTTGGCAGCATCTACCCCCTTTCTGATTTTTTTGGCGGGGAGACCCACTCACGCCAGAGCTTGTGAGTCCTTTGGTCCTGGTGCTTGGCGCCCAGGACGGTTTTTTTCCTTTTTGTATATATTGAAGCTGTTCTTTTCTCTGGACCTGGACCCTAATATTTCCGACAGGAGCTTTCTGGTGCCATTCTAGAATATTCTTGTCCAGGTCAGTGAAAAGTCCAATGTTACGTCGTAGCGTTTGTTGCGACGCTGGCCTCACCTGTTGGAGTGAGGGTGGGCGCAGGTGCCCACAGCCCTGGCTGGCCATCACGGACTACTGCTGGGGCGTCATTGGTTTCCATAATAACAAATGGACAGAAGGTTCCGGGACCGGGGCTGGCCCAAGGGGGCTCGGGGAGCCGTGTCTCACTGTCCTGAGATTCCTGCCCATCCCAGGTCTCCCTGGCCAGTGCTGTCTCCAGAACAGCTCCATTCCTCCCTGCCAGGTACCTCTGGGCACTGCCCCATCCGCTCCCCCCGCCTCAGGCTCTGCTGAGGTCATGAGTTGGGTCAGGCCAAATGGACCCTGCACAGAACAGCTGGAAGGCAGGTGCTGGGATGGATACTGCTCGTTGGGGGCCCAGTTGAGTCCCGACCAGGACTGGGCCAGACACCCTCCTGGGCCTCAGCTGCCTAGGCAGATGGTGCAGCTAAGCTGCTTAGGGCCAGCAGGCTCTGCGTGTGTCCCTGTGTGGGGGGGGGGGGGGGGGATGGCCAGCTCTGTGTGTGTCCCTGTGTGTGTCTGGGGGAGCGGGGAGATGGCCGGCCCTACATATGTGTCGGGGGGGGCGGCCCCGCGTGTGTCCCTGTGTGTGTGTGGGCAGGAGAGATGGCCGGCCTTGCGTGTGTCCCTGTGTTGGGGGGGAGATGGCCAGCTCTGTGTGCGTCCCTGTGTGTGTGTGGGGGGGAGATGGCTGGCCCTGCATATGTGTCTGGGGGGGGCGGCGCTGTGTGTGTGTGAGGGGGTGGCCAGCTCTGCATGTGCCCCTGTGTGTGGGCAGGGGAGATGGCCGGCCCTGCGTGTGTCCCTGTGTGTACAGGGTGGGTCATGGCCAGGAACCTGGGTATACAGCGCATGGTTACTCTTTGCCAGGTAACCCCCTGGATGCCCGCCTTTGCCCCTGTTGGGCTTCCAGGAGGCCCACTGGCCAGACAGTAGAAGCTCTGTGGGGACAGCTGAGTGCCAGGTGCAGAGCAGGGCACAGGGCATGCTGTCAGAGTGGCACGTGACAGTGGTGCATGGACTAGGGCAGGTACCCTAAAAACCAGAGGGCCTAGCATGGTGGCCTAGCAGCTAAAGCCCTCACCTAGCACCTGTTGGGATCCTATACAGGCACCAGTCCTAATCCCATCAGCCCTGCTGACATCAGCCCTGTCCCAGTCCTGGTCAGGACTCACCTGGCCCCCAACGAGCTGTATCCATCCAGCCCCTTACTTGTGGCTTTCCCAGGCCTGCCACAAGGCCTGGGACCCTGCCCCCACATGGGAGACCCAGAAGCAGCTCCTGGCTCCTGGTTCCGGATTGGCTCAGCTCCAGCCATTGTGACCACTTGGGGAGTGAATCACCCAATGGAAGATCCTCCTCTCTGTGTATCTGACTTTCCAATAAGAAATAAAACACAGAAGCGGAGCACAGGGCAGGAGGCCCCTTGGGGTGTTTATTTGGAGCACAAGCAACAGCCTTGACTGAACACACCTCCCCATTCACACAGCCACGTGAGTGGCCTGCGCAATTCTCGCACACAGTGGACAGCCACAGTGGCCCTCAGGTCCTGCTGGTGGGCAGGCAGCTGTGGCTGAGGCCAGGGAGGGTCGCTGCACGGAGTGACCCATGGGGGCCTCCGCGTGTGCTGCTGACTGCACTGGGCTTGCTGGGATGTCCTCGGGGTGCTGCGGCCCTGTCCTCGGGGTGCGGCCCTCGCTCCCTTCCCGGGCTCTGCGGCTGGATCTCGGGCATGCACCAGCCCAGCCCCTCGTCTCTGTGCAACCGACCCATTCCTCAGCAGGCTCGGCGTGCACTGGGGAGCTGCCCGCCACGGCCCAGTCCACGTCTGGGAAAGAAGCTGGCCTCGGTGCCTGGGCGAGGCGGGTGCTGTCCCAGGTCTCTGCGGGGGTCCTCACATGACAGTACAGAACTTGGACCGCCCGGTGTCCCGGGGCACCTGCAGCTGGTTCCTGTCGCGCACCAGGATGGCATCGTTGCCATACTGCGAGTACCACAGGCTGCGGCTCCGGCTCAGGTAGGTGCCCGGCGGCGCCCACTCCAGCTTGCGTTGCTGCTGCTGCCACACGAGCAGGGAGGTGTCCCGGTACCGTAGGCGCGCGTAGCCCTCCGACAGCGCCTTCTCGGCCAGCGGGACCCGGCCGCTCATGCCCCAGCGCCCGGGGCTCCTGCCCAGCCCCTGCCCACCCTCACACAGGGGCCAGCGCCGGCTACGCGGGCGGCCCAGAGGCACGCGTGGGCATCCTGGCCTGCCGCTGCTAGCTCAGGCGCCCGCAGGCAGCAGGGCATCCCCAACAGGGCTGGGTGGCCCAGACACCAGGCAGCCCCTGGGGGCAGAGCAAGCCGGCTCTGTGGGCACAGGCGTGTGTGTGGCGCAGCTGACGTAGTCCCACGGCTCGGGGGACGCTCGGACACCCCCAGAGGCGCCTGCAGCCCCGCGCCCACCCCTTCTCCCTGGCACTGGGCGCTGGGCACAGCCTGGAGACCCGAAGCGGCGAGGTGTGGCTCCTCCTCTTCCCCAAGTTGAAGCTGCAGAGAGAGCCAGGCGTGGTCAGGGGCGGCCAGGCAGGCAGGCGAGCGGGCAGGCGGGGTCCAGCGGCAGGGCGGCCGCGGGCAGGCGGGGTCCAGCGGCAGGGCGGCCGCGGGCAGGCGGGGTCCAGCGGCAGGGCGGCCGCGCCAAGCCGGCCCGCGCTCCTCACGCGTCACGCCGCGGCTTGCAGGCGGGAAGCCGCTGGCTGAGCCCGGGGCGCGGTCAGCCGAGGCCCCCACGCGCGCCCAGGCCTGCCCTGCCCTGCCCAGCTCGCCACCCGCGGCCTGCGTGGCCTCGGCGGCGCCCGGGGTCCACCCCGCCCAGGGCCGCGTCGCCATGGCAGCGCGCAGGCGCGGCGAGCGGAGCGCAGAGCCGGGCGGGCGGGCAGCGCGCACAGCCCGGGCCATGGATCCCCAGGCGGCTGTGGACGGGGAGGGGTGTCCCTTTGTTGGGGGTTCCCGGCACAGGTGTTTTTGGGGTCCAGGGCGGGGAGGCGCACCCATTGCACCTCTTTCTGAAGTTTCTTCTGTGGATTTCTTTCATTATCATCAGTGTTAGGAGTTTTTGTTTGAGAAAGAGGTCTTGCATGTGCTTCACTGCCCCATGGCCTCACCTGCTGGGACTGCGCCAGGCCGGAGCCAGCAGCAGACGCCAACACCTGCCCCCTCGTAGCAGGGCGCTGGGTTAGAAGCAGAACCGCTGGCACCCTGGCAGAAATGAGGGGCTGTCAGGGCAGAAGAGGCGTGTCCCCCACCGCTGGCACCCTCCTGCCTGAGAGACCCCGGCCCAGCGGCTGGCACTGACCTTCCCGAAGTGCCCATGCGCGAGTCAGCTTCCTGTGTTACCCGATGCTGGGACCTGCTGGGCCACAAAGGCGGACTTGAGGCGGCAGGCAGGGGCAGAGTTCCCCCTGCTGGAGGGCATTTCCTGCAGGGCAGAGCGATTGCTGAGGGGCTGGGTGCCCTCCTGGAAGTGAGGGGGGTGGGGAGAAGAAGGTTCTGGATTCTCACCGGTCGGGCTTGGGGGGGCCCCAGCCTCCCCACACTTTCACATGCACCTACCCACACGGGTGCACACATCGGCCCACGTGTGCCTGCACCCAACTCAGTCCATCCAGGCCCTGAGGCCCCCTCCCTGCCAGCAGCCCACACCAGCACCCAGCGGCTGCCCATCCCCACCCTCTCACTCTCGGTCTTTGGGGCGGTGCTACAGAGGGCCCAGTCCAGTCACCATGTCAGTGGGCACCGAGGGTTCTGAGCTGGGACGGAGACCCCAGGAGCAGTCCTTGCCCCACGTCCCTGGGTGCCCCCTGAGCCCAGTGGTCCGCCCTTGTGGGTCAGGCACAGGATGGCCCCTGCCTGGGGCCTGCAGTGAGCCTGCACACACGCCTGTCCACGCTGTTCCCTGAGCCATGGGGATGAGGTGATGACAAAGGCAGCTCTGTCCGCAGTGTTGGTCACACAGAATGGGTGTGCAGGTTTGGACAGTGGCACATCTTGGCTGGTGCTGCTGTGTCCTTACAAACCATTTCCATTCAACAGTGAGGTGAAGGTTCTAGCTTGAATAATGAGAGAATAAGAATAGCTATATAGGGCCTGGTGCTGTGCCAAAGTGCGCCAATCCTCTGCCTTCAGCACTGGCATCCCATATGGACAATGGCTCGAGTCCCGGCTGCTCCATTTCCCATCCAGCTCCCTGCTGTGGCCTGGGAAAGCAGTCGAGGATGGCCCAAAGCCTTGGGACCCTGCACCTATGTGGGAGACCTGGAAGGAGGTTCCTGGCACTGGGACACAGCAGGGAGGGCTCCAGTCCCGGGGCAGACTGGCCCTGCAGACTGGTGGGCCAGTGAGCAGGCACAAGCAGACCAGAGAGCCGTGTCACCAGGAGCCTCGGGACATGACACTTCGGTAGAGGAGACAGACATGTGGCTTAATGCGACCGTGAGAGTAGCTGTGGCTATGTGGCCTGCACCTCAACAGGGACCCTAAAAAACACACGCAGGGAACACCCAAGGGCCAGCATGCCGACAAGTTCCGAAGAAGGCAAGGGGAAGAATCAGCTATGCTGGGGACCAGGGTGTCCCAGGGCTGCTGTGCAAAGAGGGAGGGGTGTGTGTGGGTGCAGCTACACACGGACAGCACAGAGCAACCGTGTGTGGGTGTAACAACACTCGGAACCCACATGTGAGTGGGTGTAACAACACTCGGAACCCATGTGTGAGCGGGTGTAGCTACACACGGACAGCATAGAGCAACTGTGTGTGGGTGTAACAACACTCAGAACCCACGTGTGAGTGGGTGCAGCTACACACGGATGGCCCAGAGCAGCCATGTGCGGGTGTAGCTACACTCGGAGACCACGTCAGTGTGAGTGTAGCTACTACACAGAGTAGCACCAGTGTATATATCTTGTGTCTGTAGTTTTGTGTGAATGTGGGAATGGGGTTGCCTGGGCTATGGGGAGTAGTTATTAAGTTTTAGGGTGTTTGAAACAAGTTCCCAGGGCACACACCTGTCAATATGCATACAGAGACATCCACAACACACATGCGCACACGCCATTCACTTGCACACACACGCCCGCACGCAGTGGAGCAGCTCAGGACCCCTTTGCTGCCCGTCCCCACGACCGGGCATGGCAGGCTCAGGTGGATGTGCCTTTGGGAACAATCCTCACGCCACTGTCCGAGGGCGCAGCCACTGCAGTGCCCACTCAACACCCCTCCTCGGCCTCGCCATGGTCCCAGGTCAGGCTGAGGGGGGCAGGGCCTCTCATAGGGCGGCCCCCTCGACAGCCACCATCCCAGAACTGGTGGTTCTGAGCCCCCAAGAGGCGGCCTGTGGCAGCAAGGCCTTGGATGCAGAGTTCTGCTTAACCCTGACCGACTCAGCGTGCTTCCTGGTGTGTTCCACGCTCTCCGCACGTGGAAACCCACTTTTCCAATCACAGGTGTTATAAATCCAGATCGGGGTTTTCTGGTTAAAATCCAAGGTTCAGCAGGTGAAGTGGCCCTTAGGACACAGCAGCCTGTGGGTCCTGGCTGCTCCACCTCACATCCAGGCTCACGGCTGGGAAAGCAGCCGAACTCGGCCCAGGACTCGGCCCCCTGCTCTTGTAGGGGGGACCAAGTTGGTGCTCCTGGCCCCTTACACAGTCGGCCTTGGGGGTCAGTGCAGACGAAATCTTCCCTCTGGGATTGCCCCAGGTGTTGGGTGCTGGAGCTGTGCCCAGAACCGCGAGGCAGCCGTGTGAGGCCTTCCTGGACAGGTCGCCCTTCCCGTGTGGGGGTGGTTGTTGATCTGGACTCTCAGCCTCACGCCTGCCCCATTCCACATCCCTTCCCTGCTGGGCACTTCCTAGGGAAGATGCTGCTGCTGGCAGAGGAAGCCGTGGGCTCCCAGACAGGCAGCGGGAGCACGGTGGCTCAGGGGCACGCTCTGTGGCGACCATCAGCAGGAGGCACACACGGCACCTTCGCCAAGGCAGGGCGAGCCGCCTGGCGCCATGATGCAGCCTGGTGCAGCCTGCTCCCTGGCAGGCCGGATGGGCCTTTTTCTACACCTATAATTTCCCGGCAAATGGTGACAGCTGAATTTGCATGAGGCAGCCACAAATGGAATTTGCAAAATGTGCATATGGGTTCGGATGTGAAAATGATTCCCTTACCGGGTCACGTTGGGAAGACTCAAAGCCCCCTCCCCCTCCCCGCCAGGCACAGAGCCAGCCTGCTCCCAAACAGCCGGCTGGGGGGAGGGTGGGGGGAGGGGCGGGAGGATCAGCTTTGGCTGTGTCCCTCGGCTGGTCTCCCCACAGGTCCCTGCCCGTGGTTGGGGGACCCCCTGGTCTGGCTGTGTAGGCTCTGAGGAACCGCTCGGCAAGGGAAGAGGCTTGGGGGGAGGGCACCTGCTCTCCTGTTCAGAAGCCAGTGGGGACCTGGACTCCACACAGGGCAGCTACTGGGAAGGCGGGGCCTGGCGTCACCCCGGCGGGCACTCCTCAGCCAAAGCTGGAGGTGCTGCACAGCACATGGAGGGACACGGGTCCTGGACCATGGTCACACGTGGCCGTGGAGCCTCCTGGCTGCACGGCACCCCCAGGGCTGCAGAGGCACAGAGGTGGGCCGGAGTGCTCCCCGCCTCAGCCGTCCCCTCCTCTCCGGGCCCTGGACCAGCCAGGCTTTGGCTACAGGCTGCGAGGCCGTGGTCCCGTGGCCCTTCCATCCTCAGAGGCAGGGGTGGGCTCTCCTCCCCTCCCACTCTGCATTTTGGTCTGTCAGTGCCAGCCTGTCGGCACCACAGCAGGCCCGTGCACACACACACACACACACACACACACACACACACACACACACGTGTGAAAGCACCCGTGGACTGGGACTGCAGCATCCCTACACTCACCCGCTGCCCACCTGCCCAAGCCTCTGTGTCCAGGCGCGTGTGCACAGGTGAGGCCTGGTGCCCTTCTCCCATGCCACTGACCGGGGGGCAGCTCCCCCGGCCCTCTGGGAGCCACAGGCCCTCCTGCAGTGCTGGCCACACAGTGCAGGATTGTCTGTTGCCATAGCGAGTGTTGCAGCTAGAAGCCACAGCAGAGGGGATGCCAGTCAGGCAAGCCCTGTC